GATGTCGTCGTCGTCGTCGTCGCCGTCGTCGCTGGTTGTCAATGTTGGCTGTCAGTTTTGTGTTGCCGCCTGACAGGCCTACAAGCCGGGAAAAAACCCGGCTAACTGGACATCACTGAACGGCAGCCAACAGCAGAGCAGAGCAGAGCACAGCACAGCACAGCCCCTGGCCCTGGCGAGCATGTGCCTGGCATTCAAAGATGATCTCGGGAACATCACCTACATCGCTCAACGCTCGCTTGCCCACTGGTTTCTGGGATTGTGCCAAATTCAAGCGGCTCCACACTCCATTAATCACGGCCAACCGAATTGGACAATGAATGGGCCGAGAGCTTTTCACAAATCATAACCGCAGAAGTTTTGCCAACCCAAACGCCACTGACACATTTTCGTGGCAACCACGACCGGGCCCGGCTGCCTGCCCCATCGGTACTCGGGTAATTACGAATGGGAAGTGGCTATAAATTAACCTTAATTGAATGCATTTGACAGAAGTTGTGGGAGCATAGACCAGAGGGCCATTGAACTGGAGCAGCAGTAACAGCAGCAGCAGTAGAAGCCTCTAATAAGCCTTATTAGTAGATCCAAACCCTAATCATTGCCATTAGCCCATTTCTGTCGCTTAGCACTTCTGCTGGGGCCGAGCCCTTGCTTTGTTCCGCTTCCCAGAAAGTGAATCTCTTGGACAACGCTTCACTTTCTATTACAAATGCAGCCGGAACACTGCAGCAGAAGAAGCCCCGACCCGGCGGCGTCTTTTGTGGGGCAATGGCAAATTACTTCGATTTAATAACCACAATCGTCCACTCCACAGAGCGGTGGGCAGACCATTTGATCATTTCTCAGCTTTTACTAGGTGTTTATGGGTAGTCGTGACACAACACAATGCTTTGACCGCTCTGACAAATGGTTGCGATGAGGAGGTTGGCCGGCGAAGAGCCTGATTGAACCCCTGACATTTGTGGCAAGTGGAATAATATTGGAATACTGGGCACTGGCTCTGGGGTTGGGTCAGGGAAAGCCAATCGACTGCAGAAAAGTCAGACAATCAATCAGGTGCATCCATTCCTCCTATTTTATTCACTTTCTTTCTCAATCGCAGGATCAAATTCTCTCTCTCTCTCTCTCTCCCTCTCTCTCTCTGTATCTGTCTCTGTTTTGTATGTGGAATTCCCAAATGAAATTCATATAAAATGTATGCTAATTTGGTTAGAAAGTAAATGCACATTGTGCATATCTAATTGCCAGACACCCCACCAATCTCCAGCCCGACTCTGCCTTTGCCTCGGCCTTTTCTGCCGTTTGTGCAGAATGAAAGAAGCTACGATCCGAACAAGTGAAATTGGCCAAATATGGGCAGAGCAACTGCAAAGACTGCATAGACTGCAAGTCAAATGGGAGTCAAGTCACTTTGATATGTCCAACCAGGAGACCCAAAGAAAGAGTAGCGGATTTGGGGGGAGAGCTGCAGCCAGATAAAGCACGCAAATGTGTTGGACTTGGCCGCCTTTGTTGGCCAATTGCCCATATACAAACACTTAACAGTCGAGCATTCGAGTATTCGAGCCGAATATCCAGCATAAATTTGTACGAAAAATCTTTTTTCGGGGGGGACCAAACCGCTTGGAGCATTTACGGCAACTTGTCGCTGCCAAAAAAAACCCCGAAAAACCAACAAAGCGAAATTGTTTTTATTGTGAGCGCATTTAAGCAAATTAGTTACATATAAGACACTATAAGAGTGGAGTGTTCTGGCGAGGCCCCCTCGGAGAGCGAAGCTCCAACTGGAGCAGGGAACCTTTCACTGCTTTTGAAACCATTGGGGGTATTGTTCGGGGCTGCGGTATTGTTTGATAAAAGTGAAGATAGCATTCGTATTGAGAGAAAACATTCGAAGACATGGTGTAAACCGCATTCATATCTCCATTTGATCTAGTTTGAGCGATCGGACAAGCTGAAAATAAACAGCAGAGATCTCTATCGGAGACAGGAGACCAGACTTTGGACTCCAGACTCCCAAATCCCAGATCCCCCCAAGCCCAATCCCATTGTCCCTGGCTGACCATTCAATTCGAGAAGCAGCAGGTGGAACCACTGAGAGAAAATTATAGGCAAATGAGATGAACATTTAACAAGGCAAAGCTCGGAATCGAATCGATTTATGGCATCAAGGATGGCCTTAATGGATTCAAGGGAATCCAGCGAATCCGGCAGCAGTCCATGTTCGGAGTTTAATAGTTTTTTGGTTTGTCTAATGTTTGCCCATTAGATTGATTTCTGGCATTCTCCCTAATACCATTGGGGCATCGATTCTCTCCATTCACTGCAGCCACTCCAGTCTCTTGTTAGCGAGCGATTATCGCCGGCTGCTAGGCCCACAATCATAAGTCGGGGTCTAATTATTACTTATCCCCCAAGAATCTCACACCCAGAAACACCCCAAAGCCAAAGGCCGCTCCGGAGAAATGCGAGACCCACCCCGCCCATTCGTACGCGCAGATACAAATGTATCTCATATGCTAATTAGATGTACTCGTAGCCACTTAACAGACGCAGATATATACAGATCCCAGGCGGCTAATTGTTGGTCAATGGCCACATGCATTTTGTGGGTTAACAGGTGACGTGGAAACGTCTCACTTGGCCAGAATACAGACTGCCTCTCTACTACCGAATACTGAATACAGAAAGCGGAAAACGGGAAACGGCAAAACAGAATTTCCCTATGACCGCTAGCCCCGACAGCAGCTGGCTGCCACGCCCACCCACTGGAAGGAGAGCAGAGCGGTGGTTGGAAGAACAAACGAATAATTAGCATGAAATGATTGCACTAATTGTTGCATGAGAAAAGGCAGCTCGCAGAGGAAGCGTTTCGGAGTCTGCTCGGTGCTCGGCCCCGTTTGCCTCGTGTGGCAGAGCAGCAGACTAGCAGAGTAGCAGAGTGGCAGAGTGTGGGAACTGCAAGCGATCTTTCATTAGTTGTCTCATTAGATGGGAGCTTGGCCCTCGGGCAAGATTTTGGCTAATTTGGGCAGGCGGCTCCATAAATTATGCAATCTGAGTGAGCCGAATGCAGAGCCAAGAAGCCAGAGCCAAGAGCCATGAGGCAACCTCTTTGAAGCACCGCCCGGCATTCTCACATTTGTCAACACAGTTGCAACAAAGTTGCAGGCATTTTCATCTATGGAAATGCTGGACAAACCATGTTCTATTAGTCGATCCAGCAAGGGTAGAGTAATGGTAGGAAGGCGGCTTAAACGAGTGCTTTAAAGGGTATAATTCTTTGGGGATTAGCTTCACATGGAATCTGCTTACAAAAGGTGGAACTACTTCCATAATAGAGTGACAGATCCCTAGTTCTGGGGGATATTTCTTTGACTTCGAATGGGATCTTCCAGCAGTTCTTTTTGCAGGTGGTTTTCTGCTCGTATTTCCAATCCCAGAGCATTGATTGTCCCCAGGGAACAAACACTTCGACTCGGTTTGTTCCGATTTCTTGGACGAGTATTTGTGTTGGCTGCTCCCTTGTTTGATCTATGAGCGTGTCCACAGTTGCCACTTGCCATGCCGCAAGCACATAAATTCCCTCAGCTGCGGCGGCAGCGCCAATCGTTCATCGATTCACCACAGCCGCAGAAGCAGAGGCAGTGGCTCCAACGGTAGGCACCACCAGATTGAAGATGGAAATGGAAATGGAGCCATAGAGCATCGATCCTCTCTCGTGTTCATTTGCACATCGAGCGGCAATTTCACAGATTTATCATTTTTTTATCGTGCGGTAAAAAAAAAACGAAGAAAAACTAAATTTATTAATATGCCAAGTGCGAGGTTGGCTATAAAATAAAACCTGTTCCAAGGCCAGAAATTTATGGGTCTCCCAGAGCAGGATTGTGAGCTTTGGGGTTGAGGCTCACGCCACCTCCGTGGAGTCGATTGGAGTCGAATCGGATTGAGCAGAGCAGAGTGGAGTGCAGTGCAGTGGAGTGGAGTGGAGTTGCCACGGGATAATATACTTTACGCATGTTGCCGTTAGCCCAATTCACTTTTAACGCAGTTGCGTGGCACGCCCCCAGTCCTTGCCCCTGCCCCTGCCACTGCCCCTGTGGCCTGTCCCTGTCTGCTTTTAAGGCTAACGTGGGACTTATGTGGGATTAGACTAAGCGAAGAGGCATGCCTAATTGGCTAGATCTGAGATCTAGCGGAGCCGGAGACCTGGATAAGTTGTTGACTTATCGCGTGCCAAGATGCCATCGCCATCAGTTTCACTAGCGAGTGGTTTAAGACCCAAGAGGAACACCGAACCGAGTCGAGGCGACTCGAACTGCGACGGTGGCTGGAGTGGAGCTCCAGCAACCTAGGAGAGTCTTCTTGGGCAAATAAATTGCCAACAGCCGGAGGCAGAGATCTCTTTGGCATGCAAATGGCGATCAAGATCGCGATGTTTGCCCGGCCTGTTATGAGTCAATCAGACGCCTGCCTACATTGTCACCATCACTTGGTCTTTGAGTGCTGCTGCTGGTGCTGGTGCTGCTCCTGCTCCTGCTCCGGCTACTCCTGCTCCTGCTGGCTGCCTGCAGCGCAGATATCGAGGATGCTGCTGAGATTGGAAGATGGGAAGATGGGCGCTGGCGATTGTCGCGATTGCATCATAAAATTTAACGGCCCCGGCAGCCAATTCCAGGTCCCAGTCCAAGACCAAGACCAAGTCCAAGCCAAGTCAAAGTCATTGCATAAATTGGCAGCAAGGAGTTGCTATCGATGTGGCAGTGTGGCAGTGGCTGCTGATGGGGCTTATAAGGCGCCGCTTAGGCGAAAAAGGGGCAGGCACCAATCCCCAGCTCCAGCTCCAGCTCCAGCTACAGCTACAGCGCCTCCTCCATTCAGCTGTCCATTTGGCCGAGATGTTTATGAGTTGACGAGGACAGGGAGCCGGCCCTACCGGTGGGTCCTTCTCTCATAATTTCCCCCCTCCTCCCTCCACAGACCCTCTCCATCAGAGGTACACGCAATATGCATCATTTAATAGGCAAAGCAAACATCAAAAGGAGCCGCTGGGGTCACTTCTTTGGCGACTTTGTGCGTTGCCAGAGCTGGACATCCGCGGAAACTTTCCTGACCAGCGACGAGACCTGCTTGAACGCCTGGTGATCCTTGCTGTTTAGCAGATTGAACATCACGCTCTCCGCGCTGGTTATCACGCATCCAATGTCCCGCAGGCGCTCCAGAGCAAGGTCCCGGTCCTGATTGAGACGCGAGGCACAGCAGTCGGCGACCAACCACACATCCACCTTGTTGTTGATCAGGTCAAAGGCCGTTTGCTCCACACAGATGTGTGTCTAGAGGGTGGGGAGGAGGGGATACGTTCGTACGTGAATCTGCAAGAAAGAACCTGCAGGAAAGAACCCACCTCCAGGCCAAAGAGAACCACCGTCTGCGGCTTGCCGCTGAAAATGTCAACCATATTCTTCTTGATCGGCTCCACAATCATGCTGAACTTGGTCTTTGGTATGTTGGCGCAGGCATGCTGAATGTCCAGCTCGGAGATGGTCTTGCCCAGCCTCTCGGGATATTGTTCGGTCACCAGGAGGGGCACCTTGAGGATCTTGCCAGCTGCCAACTGCAATGTAAATTCATTAGATTCCGCCCATTATCTTGTCACTTTTGCTGTCTCCTGCTGGCTTACCAATTTCTTGGTGTTTTCTATGAGCGCATTCATCAGCGGTATGGCCGGTTTGAACTTCTCCTGGATATCGCATTGCATAAACAGGGTTTTCTCTGGCTGAAGGCGGTAAAGAGACGAACCGATCGCTTTCCTCATGATTGCACGGACTAATTTTTATTTTTGTGTAAATTTCAATCTCTTACATCATGTTTTAACTAAAATAACATTTTCTCCAAAGCATCATATTTCAAATTTAGCGCGCAATCGACACCACCTAGCGGCAGACCGAGTAGGCTACAACTTTCGCACTAGCGCGCTATGATATTAAATAATCTAGCAGAAATGGTATATTTATGGGTATTTTCTTTTGATCGAAATGGACAACAAAAGTTCGGTCACACTGAGCCGCGAACAAGCACACCGCATACCCTAGGGCAAAGGATATTATAGAATTGAGAAAATGTTTGTCATCCCAGGCTCCGTAGGTATCAGGATCGAGATAAATATATACAAGATACTAATAAAACACATGAATATGTCTAAAATATATCAATTTGAGAAAAGGTCTTTATAAATTACGTTTTATCTTCATATAAAATTAACAAAATAGGGTATACAAAAACCTATGCGCGCATCATGTCTCATAATACCAGCAACATTGCGACTGTTTTTTTATGAACTATTTTGTTTAAACCTTGTTTTAGTCAAAATACAATAAAAGCAAGGACTAAAAACTAACGCATCTAGTAGAAAATGTATTCATTACTGGCCTAAAATTATGTGGTCAAAACTAAGGGCTTTAGTTGGCCAGAATTATTCATCGGAATCTCTTAATTGAGCAATATGATCGACTATACTCTTTCGTTTGCCTTGACTTTTTTTAGACTAAATCCAACAAAAGCAGGTGTTTAAAATAAGCCAGTCAATCAGAAAATAGGTTCATTAATTGGATAAAATTATGTGGGCATGGCTAAATGTTCTATCTAGGTAGTAATATTTGAGAGAACATCAAAATTGAGCAAGGTTTCATTGACGGAGAACGATTAACCCATTGTAAACTCAGTGAGTATTTTAATATTCCACCGAAAATAAAGAACATTTTATAAATTTTAGCGTAGTTCACGGGAAAGATTCGTGGGATTTTTTGCAAGTTAAAAGGAGGGAGGGAATGAATCTACAAGAAGAATTTACAATCGTTAATATTTTCCGCCATATACCTCAAGTAGTTGAACTTTTGCCGACAAAAAAATACTAATACTACATACATATGTAATTCATGACGATAACAAACACGTGCAACGTTGTTCTGGCCATCGCCACCACCGGCAGAGAGAGAGAGAGAGAGACGAGACCACCGAAAATCCATAGAATTTATTAATTATTTAAGCCAAAACACCGATGTACTGATACTCAATTGGTGGCCAACAGGTGAGTTTTGCTCCGCAAAAGAGCCAAACGTGAAGAGAATTGCTCTAATTGGATTGTTTTATAACCAAAATTTACCTGAGCAGCCACCTTTGCTTCTCTCTCTCACTGCCTGCTGGCCTGTGGTGTGTGTGAGGTTACGATTAGCGGCAACCATCTGTTGCATGCGGCAGACAGCTATTGGCCAAATTAACAAGTTTTACACAAGTTCTTGGCACTGGACCAAGGCAAACATCCTGTCATGTCACAAACGCAGAGCAGAGCAGCCCAACAAATTGCAGAAACATTAATTACCGGCCCGAATCATTCGGTGTTGCTTAATAACATTTGCTCTGATGATCTACGCGATTAATTTGCTGCCTGCCGCGCATTTCATTATGAATTGTCATCAAGAAATTCAGCGTCAACAGAGCCAGAGGCAGCTGCAGCGGAGCTAATTCGATCTAAGCAAACCCTTTATCAATTGGCAACGCAGTGGCAGCAGCGACGGAAGCAGAGCGACAGCCAGCGCCAGTAGCAGCCAATGTGCCAAGATGAATGGCGCTGCCGCTGCTGTTGCCTCTTCCTCAGTCGTACACGCTCTCTCTTTTGACGCCCCCTGAATGGGGGGCCGTACGTAGCGCCCGTCGCCTCGCATTCAGTTGCTCACTGATCCGTTTGCCTGGCAGACGTCGCAATTCACTGACGTAGGCGGTCCCGTTCGATTAATAACTGCTCGATTCCCATTAATTCTCGGGCCACTGCTCTATTAGAATATTGTGACGCGCGACGCATCGATAATTGTGGGTTGTCCACAGCCCATAGAACACCCCATCCCAGTCTGCTCGTAATCATCGGCTAATGATCCACTCCCCATTCCAGATACACAAATATATAATATATATAGTACAAAACGAAGCGAGATGAGTCTACAATCGATCAAATACACTCGGGGCAGCCTGGAGATACTGGACCAGCTGCTGCTGCCGGTGCAGTCCAAGTACCTGCCCGTCCGCGGCGTGGAGGACGGCTGGAAGGTCATCAACAAGATGCAGGTGAGTGTCGCATGCACCATAGAGTGGCATACACCTACATTAGGGGCCAACGGTGGCACATGCCATTAAAATTCTTATTGGTACATTTCTTAATCTGTGCCGTGATCGCGTCGTTTGTCGTTTGTCGCTTGTCGGTTGTCTATTGCGCTTGGCTATAAATAACGTAATTGAAATTACAAATTTTTAAAAACGCTTGCTTGCTTGCCAAAAATAAACCTACTCCCTGCTCCCCACCCGGCCGTGTGGCCACCCGTGGGGCACGGCGGATGAGAGGCTGTGGCGGAAGACCTCTTAGTACTGGGCTAATGGCCCGAGTGGCCCCCAAAACCCCAAAGTGCTGCTCCTCCAATAACCAAGAGATAGATCACTTATGCAAAGAGCACGCGGAACTCTTATCACGTGAAGCACCCCACATAATACGATGTAAACTGTTTTCTTAATTTTTCGCAACGTCACCACCAGATAAGCAGAGATACGGCTATAACTAATCCCCCACGCGTGATCTCTCTCTCATCTGTCTACCTTTTATTGCTCTTCTAGGTGCGAGGAGCCCCCGCCATTGCCATTGTGGGTTGCCTGTCGCTGGCCGTCGAGATCCACCCGGAGGAGTTCGACAGCAAGAAATCGCTGCGGCAGGAGCTCGAGGGGAAGCTGAACTATTTGGTTTCGGCCCGGCCGACGGCAGTCAACATGAAAATGGCCGCCGACGAACTACTTTCGCTGGCCAATGACCTGACCAAGGATGACAACGTCGACGTGGCGGCCATGAAGCAAAGGTAACAACGTCGCTAAGCAAAGCAACCCAAAGCCAGGTGCAGCCAAATATTCCCATGTAATTAAAGATTCCTGAATGCCACCGAGGCGATGCTCAAGAAAGACATTGCCGATAATCGCGCGATCGGGGCCCACGGGGCCAAGGCCATTCTCCAGCTTGTGGCTGCGGCGGCCGGAGCGCCGATGGCCGGTCCAGTGCGTGTTCTTACCCACTGCAACACGGGATCACTGGCCACAGCGGGCTACGGCACGGCTCTGGGCGTTGTACGTCAGCTGAGTGAGCTGGGAAAGTTGGGTGAGTATCTTAGAGCATTCAAATCGCTAACGTGACAACAATTAATCACCGAATCATCCATCCGCAGAGCACATATACTGCACAGAGACACGGCCGTACAACCAAGGAGCTCGGCTTACCGCCTATGAGCTGGTGCACGAGAAATTCCCCGCCACCCTGGTGCTGGACAGCATGGTGGCGGCCTTGCTGCGAGCCAAGAATGTGGCAGCCGTCGTTGTGGGAGCGGATCGCGTTAGTGCATCACGTACATCGATCAAAATAGATATTTCATCTAACCGTTTGCACCCATTCTTTGCAGGTGGCGGCTAATGGCGACACGGCCAACAAGATCGGAACCTACCAGATTGCGGTGGTGGCCAAGCATCACGGTGTCCCCTTTTTTGTGGCCGCTCCCCTGACCTCCATCGATTTGCATATACCCAGCGGCGACCACATCATCATCGAGGAACGGCCCGATCGGGAAATGACCCATGTGGGCGAGCATCGGATTGCCGCACCGGGCATCAACTGCTGGAACCCCGCCTTCGATGTGACGCCAGCGTCCCTGATCACGGGCATCATCACGGAACGTGGCGTCTTCCAGCCGGCGCAACTGAAAGAGACGATAACCAAGCTGCTTGAAACATAACAGTCGCACGGAGCACAGAATTTGTTGTTAACGATTGCACTCCATACCCGAAACAGAAAAAACCCATGCGCTCAGAATAGGCATTTTGCCAGCTGAGTTTTGTTTACAAACGTGTTCCCGCAAAAACGTAGCCCGTGCAATTAGCCGACCAGATGTGGGTCGGCCGCAGGGGCAATACTACGCACAATATACCTCCTACATATGTAGCCCCATTCCCCAGTTGTTGCCAGAGGGGCATTGTTTCGGTTAGCTTTAAAGCCGCTTGAGTGTCTAGCGCCCCTTGCCAGAAGCCACCTGATTTGCCATGGAATCGCAACGCCTGCTCCTATTGCTGCCGCTGCTGCTGATGCTGGGATTGAGCTGCTGTCGAGCCAACAGTCGCCTGAACGTCCAGAACAACCACAGGAACATGATGGTGCGGCTCGCCACCAATAAGGAGACTCGCGGCGGGGTCAGAGTTCTCAGGGAGGGACGCGTCGAGGTGAGCTTCGACTTTGGCGCCACTTGGGGCACAATTTGCAGCACCAGTTGGAGCATGCGGGAGGCGAATGTCGTGTGCCGGCAGCTGGGACTAGGCTTTGCCTCAAAGGCCACTCAGAACACGGAGCATGGGGACAACAGAAGGTATCCTTGGGGCATGGTGGGCACCCTCTGCCGTGGCACAGAGCGTCGCCTGGCCGAATGCACGCGGGAGTCGCGTTATCCGAACATTTGTGATGCCCGGAATAGGAATATAACCGTCGTGGCATGCGTACGCCACTCGGCTGATCTGGAAATTGGCCTTGCCGACATTGAAAGAACCGCCCGCCTGGAGTCGGTGCCCATGTCGCGACTCACCTGCGCCATGGAGGAGCACTGCTTGTCGGCGGACGCGTACGTCATACGGCAAACAAAGCCGCACGCGGAGAGAATCCTGCTGCGTTTCTCCGTCAAGGCCACCAATGTGGGTAATGCGGACGTCAGTCCGTATGCCAACTACAAGGATTGGGTCTGGCATCAGTGCCACAGGCACTACCACAGCATGAATGTCTT